AAATTAAAATCAGTTCTTTGCTGTTATGTGTAGACATAACACCGGTGCATCCCTTGAGTTAGGTGTCTGTTTTTTAGGTTTGAATTATTCATGTAGATACTTGATGTTAAGTGACCTACAGAAGATAATTTTTAAAAGTAGAAGAAAGTCTGGCCCCTTAGAAAATACATAGAAGGGTGGCTCTAGACTTTTGCACAGTATTTTTGTTTTGTTTTTTAAATTTGGAAGGTGGTTTGGGTTTTTTTCTGTTAATGTTTCTTTTTGCTAAGACAGTCAGCTGTTCAGTTTCTCAGATTCCTTTCAAACTAGTTTCTCTTCCTTGCTCAACTGGAACAGATTTGTTGCTCTGCTGCTGTTCAGCCTTGCACAGTAACCTTCCACCATCTCTGTCTTTAACATTTCACCCTAATTACACTTACTTAATAATACACCAGTGCAATCTACTCAGTTGTAAGGAGCGGGTTCAGAGCTACCTCCTCTTGTATGTCATCCACATCATGACCACACACCGTGGAGCTTTCCACAGTGCAGCCTGAAATAGCATGGCCACAACAGATGCTTTTGTGCAGAGTGGTTTAATTTTGTTGCAGGTGATGCTCTGCATCAAAAGCACCATGCTGACACAAATCAGTTAAGTGAGAGACACCCACTCATCATTGGAGAGCGTGTATCTAGGATTTTAGAGCAGCTTAGTTAACACTGTGGCTGTGCTGTTCTGCCACTTGTGATCGCATGAACCTCAGATGAAGCCTTATGAAGTCAGTCACATTTTATGAGCAAAGCAGAGCCACAGGATTGGGTGGAGTAGGATGGCCGAATATGGGTGTTTCAGTCTAATTGGCTAAGGTTTTTTTCTGCCAGCCTGTTATTTTCTTTTTTCGTCCTTTGAATGATGTCATGTTCTTCTTCCTCCTTGCGTCTTTGTCCTCTCTTCCCTCCATTTGTCTTCTCCCCTATCCTCCTTTCATCTCATTCCCTTCCTCTGCAGCTGTCACATCTGCTTCCCTACCATGGGATTCTCTCTCTCATATATGAACAGAGTGCAGCAGTCATGCAATTTTTTCTCTAGTAATGAATGACTGAATGCACCAGGCATGTGTACGACGCGGTGAGAGCAGATGGTGCTTTGATAATCTGCTGATCCTGGTACACAAACATGGAGTCGACATTCCTTTTCATCCAGCTATGTGCTTGCGATGCTTCTGTGTCTGCAGACCAGAAGAGGTTCCCCCGGTGTTGACGCTCCTTCCAGACAACATCCTGCAGGTTTTGCGCCACCAGTTACTGCAGTGTGTCCAAAAAGCCTCTGACGGCCTGGAGCCCGAGCAGCAAAACCTAGCACTGCTGCTGCTCAAG